CGAATCTGAGACCAACAAAAGGAAAATTACGCACACCTTTCTCTTTTCTTTTCTCTCGCAAATCCAAGACAAATCTGTGTGATTTCTCGAGAAAGTCAAGCGCGAAACCTCCACGAGGAAACTCAGGATTCGTATAATATATATACTTGGTCTCTTAGGGCACAAATTGCTCCAAGCTCCTCTCTCTCTCTCTCATTTGCCGTGCGGACCAAGGAACTAGATGCGTTTGTCTCCCTGAATCTCTGGAAAACATCGATCTGTATATGTTAATCGTATGTAGAGAGAGGATTGATAAACAAGATTGTTGATTCCATCTTTCTTTCTTCCTCGTACTTGATCATTACTTCTATTTTTAGATTCCTCTAAGGGAAACACGATGAAGGCAAATGCGATTCCATAGGAGAAATCATCCATCATCAACAACACTTGTTCCTTTGGATTCCAAGGCTTTAGATAAGACTGAAAATTATATGGGGCGAGCATTGGAATCATCTGGTGCTCTCTTTCCAGTTTCTCCTTGTAATTCAAACTATTTAAGCTTGGAATGGCTTTTTTCCAGAGAGGTCTTCCCACAGAGAGGGAAAATGAGCAGGTTTGTTTATTGATGTTTTGGATAGTGAATATATTATTATCTTCAATTTCTTCATGATTTGGGTAAAGCTTGTTGCAGGCCATAGCAATTCTCAAGAAAGGCGCTTATCTGTTGAAATACGGCAGGCGTGGGAAACCTAAGTTCTACCCTTTTCGGCTTTCGAGTGTAACTCCCTTGGAATTCTTTACAACTGCAAAAGCAACAATCTGTTGATACTGGTTTTTTTTTTTAATCAAAATGTAATGCAGGATGAAATATATTTGTTATGGTACTGTGGCAAAAAGGAGAAGCGTCTTAAACTGACTTCTGTGTCGAGGATAATACCTGGACAGCGAACTGTGAGTATGAATCATTTCTCTATTAACAGTTTTGCTGCACATTCTGAACAAACGAATGTTATTGTAACGATTTTTCCAGGCAGTTTTCCGCCGATATCCTCAACCCACCAAGGAATATCAATCCTTTTCTCTTATATATGGCGACCGGTCTCTGGATTTGGTTAGTATTCTTTGTTCCCTGACAAGTATTAGACCATATATAATCTCCATTGCTACATCAAGAGGTTCTTGCAACTGAATAAATAAGCATTTACTGAAACCTCATGGATAGGTATGCAAGGACAAGGATGAAGCTGAGTTCTGGATCACTACCCTTCGCGCTCTTCTCTCACGAAACAGCTCTTCTGCATTAGTACTTCACTCAAGAAGCCGTAGTTTAGCTCCTGACAATGAAGAACAAAGTAGTTCGACCAAGAACTCCAAGTCCAACATCAGATCCGTCAGCAGTGATACAAGCTGCCAGGTTTTTTTTCTTTCTTCAAGAAAAGACCATATAGTTTTTTCTTACTTAACATCGTATCTCATCTGGCCCTATTGCAGGAACTTGCAAAAAGGGCCTCAGGATCTCACTACAACACTCCACATCGACTAGGGAAAGTTTTCTCAGAGGTTTTGTCACAAACTGCAGTACTAAAGGCACTCTCTTTGGACGAACTAGTCCACAAACCTCCTAATTCGTCTCCAGAGACTCAAACTACTAATCACTCCCCTGCTGTTGATACATGTAAATATAGCGTTTCCAGCGCAGTGAGCTCATCTAGTCAAGGATCTTCGTTTGAAGACTTGAAGTCTCTCTGTGATGTCTTTGTTTGGGGAGAAAGTATAGGAGATGGGCTATTAGGAGGTGGTATGCACAAAAGTGGAAGCAGTTGTTCTCTAATGACCGAGTCCTTTTTGCCCAAAGTCCTGAAATCACATGTGGCACTTGATGCCCAAAGCATATCTTGTGGCACCAAATATGCAGTGTTAGTCACAAAGCAGGGACAAATCTACAGCTGGGGAGAAGAGACTGGTGGCAGGTTAGGACATGGAGTTTGTTCCTCCTACGTTCCACAGCCGAAACTTATCGATGAATTTGACGGATCATTGGTGGAGTTAGCTGACTGTGGGGAATTTCATACTTGTGCTGTAACAGCCTCAGGGGATTTATATGCTTGGGGCGATGGAGCTCACAATGCCGGTCTCCTTGGACTTGGTAGTGAAGCTAGTCATTGTATACCAGTACGAATACTCGGTCAGATGGAGGGTATACATGTAAAAACCATCTCTTGTGGACCTTGGCATACTGCTTTTGTGACATCAGAAGGTAAGCTGTTTACATTTGGTGATGGTACTTTTGGTTCGCTTGGACATGGTGATCGTATAAGCACAAGCATACCTAGAGAAGTGGAGGCATTAAACGGCTGCAGAACAATAAGGACAGCTTGTGGCGTTTGGCATTCAGCTGCTGTTGTCAGTGTTTTCTGTGACGCAACATCATCAGGAAAGCTCTTTACTTGGGGGGATGGAGAGGATGGAAAACTCGGACATGGAGATAAAGAGTCTAGACTAATCCCATCTTGTGTAACCGAACTGGATACAACTAGCTTTCAACAGGTAGCTTGTGGCCAGAGCATTACTGTTGCTCTCTCTGCTTCTGGACAAGTTTATGCTATGGGAATTGTTGATCCAAGTCACGATGAAGATTTGAGAGCTCCTTCTTGCATTGAAGGTAGCTTAGGAAAGAGTTTTGTCCAAGAAGTGGCATGTGGGTTTCACCATATCGCGGTTTTGAACTCCAAAGCTGAGGTCTACACTTGGGGCAAAGGATCACATGGACAACTCGGGCACGGAGACACTGAATATAGACGCATGCCGACTCTTGTGAAAGCTTTGAAAGGTAAGCACGTGAGGAAAGTGGTGTGTGGTTCTAATTACACAGCAACCATTTGTCTTCACAAACCAATTTCGGGAACCGATAGTTCTAGATGCTCCGGTTGTCACCATCCTTTTAATTACATGAGGAAGCTCCACAACTGTTACAACTGTGGGAGTGTCTTCTGTAATTCATGCACTAGCAAGAAGTCCTTAGCAGCAGCCATGGCTCCCAAGACGAACAGGCCTTACCGTGTTTGTGATGACTGCTATATCAAACTCGAAGGAGCTAGAGAACTTTTTGGAACTCCAGCGAACAGTGCCAGATTTTCAAACGCAAGTCTACCATCTAGCAGTATCGACATGGAAGAAATTGGCACCACACCACAGCGTCAGCTTCAGCTTCTAAGGGTGGATTCATTTGATTTCTTTAGGCAATCTAAGATCCCGGATCTGAAAACCATAGGTGAAACCTCAGGAGCAAGCTGCACTTCGTCGAATCACTCAAATATGGACACTAAGGGTAGTTTTAACCTGAGAGGGATGAGGCGACTCTCCAGGCTTACCTCTTTTGATTCGGTTAATCAAGAAGGCAAACAACGTTCCAAGCATTGCGCCTCAAAATCAGACACATCCTCTATTATAAGACACTCAGTGACTTCTGGTCTCCCGTTTTCACGTAGAGGTTCTGTTGAGTTGTTTCCTTTGTCGATAAAATCCAGCCCCGTTGAATCTGTTGCGACTACTTCAGACTTCACCACCGACATTACAGATACGGAGTTGCTGCAAGAAATGCCAAGAAAATCGAATCAATGCCTCAACCATGAAATATTTGTACTCAAAGCACAGGTTACTCCACCATGTTGAATCAGTTGTAGGATAAAAAACTTGTCCGTATATTGTAGATGAAGAAGACATGTAATTTTTTTGACTACTCAGGTGGAAGAGCTTACCCGTAAAACGAAACAACTAGAAGCCGAATTGGGAACGACTTCGAAGAAGCTTGAAGTTGCGGTGTTAATGGCACGTGATGATGCAGAGAAGATTAAATCTTCAGGGGAGATAGTCAGGTCCCTAACTCTGCAGGTACACACATTTTATCTTAAATCATTTGCTACTCGTAATTTGAAATATGATTCTCGAGCTCCGGTAATGGAGATTTTAA